TGTAGGGCGGGTGTAGGAATCTACGGTGAAGATTAAAGGTCTATTGATCATCAAAGGTGTTGTTCCTGCTGCTTTTGCTTGTCAGAGCTTTTCTAAGTGGTCTTTACTTCATGTATGGCTTCGGTCAGCAACTGATGTATAGACGGGAGCCGACTTTATGCATGGTTGACCGTCGATGGGATACCTCCCCAAGCCGGAGGTGCCGCGAGGTTCTGTGATACCTTGAAGACGCTGCCCGCTGTCGTAGGTTCAACGACAGCTGAAGTCTGCGGCTTGCACACAGTACACTTTGAAGTTTTCCACAGGATCTGTTTCCTGCTGCCTGGTCCGCTGGAGTTCGTTCGAAGCGCCTGCCGTAACATCAAAGCTTATATCGCAAGTGGCAAGTTTTGCATCTCCGGGGTCCCGCCGCCCCTTTCTGCAAGATTTCTGATCTGCTCCTAGCTGGGGACTCACAACACTGCACAAGGAAAGCGTGCCAAATAAGCAGATTTTACCTTCGCAGAAGAATCCCCATGACAGACATACCGCGGTTTTCATGTGAACGATTTCAGTCCGGATGGGGCCACTCAGATTCCACCAATTTAGGTACGGACATGTCCGGACAAATTGGGGTGGAATTCAGGGGCCGTGGGCCATCGTGGGTCCCCCCGTTTCGCTCAGTTCAACCAGATGTTGCAATGGGTTTGGGGAGCCGGAACATCACCAGGATTCCACCCGTCTGCACCCAAATAGTTTTCCGAGGGAGCTGCGTCAAGACACTGTAGTAGGGTAGGGGAGTGCAACCTTTTTTCAGGAGTGCGACCTTAAACTGTCCATAGATGCTGAAGTCCAGGGGTTGTGTGGGGCTTTGGTTGTGTTGAGAGCTTACCAGCCTGAAGCTACCTGCTATTCGGCCGAATCTTTGGGCTTGCAGCAAGTAGGGTAGCTGCCATGGCCAAACGGGCCAAATCCGGTGATGGCCGGGGGCACCAGCAGAGATGTAGACGACGAGATCGCGGCGATGAGGATCCTAATGCAGTAGATGTGGCTTTCCCGTCAAGCTCTGCTGGGCACAAGCTCATATCCTCCTGGGCTTGGGGCGAGATCTCAGCTGGCTCGGTGCAGGAGTTCGCCAAGTCCATGGTTGAAACCTTTGGCGATCCGGCGAATGATGTTTCGAGTTTGTCTCGGCTCGGGCCAGGGGCCCATGGCCACTCCGAGCACAACTGCAACAGGGAGTTGCTGCAGTTGTTTCGAAGCATTGGGGGGATTCCAGAACCTGTGGAAGTGGACTGTGTGCTGTGGTCCGGAAAGGGACGGCTGGCAGGAGCAGCACTCGACCTTTGTCCGTCTTTCTGCCGCGCGGCTGATTCTCTTCCGTAGCCGAGGCGGAAGGCATGTTGGATGCTGTCTTCGGCACAGAGTCCGGGATACGAGATTTTTGGGGCAGAGTTAAAGCCGACGATCCGAGGCTTCAAGACAATCCTCTGAAATCCCAGAAGAAGTGGCGAGAGTCGTTTTATCCTTTTCTGCTGCACGGAGATGCAGGCCCTCATCAGAAGCACGATTCAACGGATGTTTTGAGTTTCAAGTCTGCCTTGACAGATCAGGGTGTCAACACTTCTGTCCTACTTTTGGGAGCCATCCCAACTGCCTGCACCAGCTCGACAAAAACCTAGAAAGACCTTGGATGTTCCTTTTCAGGGGGATACCAGGGACGAGTTGGGAAAGTGGTGGGCCTGGTCCTGGAATGCGGTCTTCGAAGGAAGGCATCCCGAAAGGGATCCTTTTGGTAAGCCTGTTCTTGCAGGTTCCCGCCGTGAAGCACTAGCAGGCTCGCTGCTAGACCCCCTGATTAAGAGGCGAGGGGTGCTGTGGCTAGCCCTGGCGGACTGTGAGCACCTCAGTCTGAAGTATGGCCTGCCGCATCATGCAGCTACCGAGCCCTGTATGAGGTGCAAAGCGGAACCAAACTGATGCTCCTTGGAGAGACTTGTCGACGAATGCCAAGTGGAGAAGGCTTTGCTATACACCCGCCACTGTGCTTACGAACCACTGGATCAGCACCGTGCTCGGCACCAATCCTTTCACTTTTGTTTTTGACCCGATGCATTGCCTAGAGCTTGGCCCTGCAGGCACAGCAGTTGCGACGGTTTTCTTTGACATGTGCTATAAGGAGCTCTCTGGAACAAAGGCTCAGAAGTTGAACAAATTGACAGAAGAAATTCGGAAAATCTGTGACATTCTCGACATAAAGCAGAACCGGATCAGCCACCTGGAGTACTCCCATTTTTGTGTAGAATCTGCTCCCTGGCAAAACTTTCCAGACCTATCGCATGCAGCTGTGAAAGCCAAGCAGGTTCGCTATCTGGTCCCTGTGGCAACCGAACTTTGTCGTCGCTATGCCGGCCGTGACAAATACAGAAAGCTGAGATTGACGTGCCTTGAGGCCCTCGACAGCATGTACAAGATCGTGGTTCGGAACGATTTGTTCCTGCCTACGTCGGAAGCCAGGCTGTACAAACAGAACGGCCACCAGTTTGCAGTTCATGTTGCTGCTCTGTCACAGTGGTGCTCCGACAACGACGAGAAAAAATCGCCCATACGAACCAAGCTGCACTACTCAGAGCACATTGCTGAGGAAGCACGATTTCTCAGTCCCAAGGCTCAATGGCGCTATTCCGGTGAGAGTATGGTGGGCAGTGTNNTCAGTCGTGCTTGTCTAGCAATCCCCGCACAAGTTGCCAGCACTTGTCTCGGGCCAGACACGAAACAATGCCAATGCTGAAGGGTCCACTTGGACATTCCGAAGCCAGGACCTGCTTCGACCTTGGGCAGGGGCCGAGCCGGGCATGGCTTCTGCTGCGAAATTTCGGTTTAAGATGTAGGGGTTTAGGCCGGGTTTTTTATGGCATGGATCGATGTTGATATTGATTTTGGTCCGCCTTTGTATTGATTTTCCGGAAGCATATGTGTATATATATATATATATATATATGAGCCCTGGCGCCCTGAAAACCATATACTGATATTAAGCGCCCTTTCAATATGATATTGATGTTGACTTCGCTCATTGATTTTTTTCAATAACCGAGCCTCTCGGAAACTTTGCTTGGCAGTCAGACCCAGGAAACCATTGCTGCCACAGAATCGCAGCTTAGAGTGAAGCTGCTGGGGCAGAAGTGGTCAGAACTGCTAGACAGGCAGATCGACTCAGAAGTTTTTCCTTCGCCCGTGTGCACTCAGGCCCCTGAGTGGGCAGTTGCTTGGGCGATGGAACTTGAGACTGAGGAAAGCGTGCAACAGTGGGCGTTTGAATGGGCAGAGAGATAGCAATGCAGAAAGAATGCCAAAAGGCGCCACCTGAGCGACAGGACATGCCTAATTGGGCTGCTCAGTGGGCTCTTGAGCTCACACTCGAGTTCCGATAATTCCCCCTCGTCCCCCGGAACGTGAAGCGTCAGCTTGTGGAAAACGAGCCCGGCTATAGATAGCTAGCAGCTACATCAAGTTTCGATCCCCGGTTTAGGGCCCTAGTTGCATTCCAAGCTAGTCAGGCCCAGCCTAGAGGGTCCAACTACCCATCTGGCAAGTTTGTAACGTTTTCATATCTAAAACCTTCAGCGACTGTGAACGGTTTTTTTGTGATCTTCCCATAGGCCCCATAGTAGTTAATTTTTGGGGTTACCTTATAGGATTCTATATATGAGCCCCCAAAAGAAGCTACTTTAGGGCCTATGGCTAATGCCAACAATCTGGGTATCTGTGCGTTAGGGCAAAGCTTCGACCGCTCAGTGGTGAGGATGGGATCGAAGTCTGCTGAGCTGCGTGCCGAGGGCTACGAAGCCGCTCTTCCAGGTCTTTGTGTTGGGTGTCAATGTTTCAAGCCTAAGCTGTGCGACACCCCGAGTTCATATTGGCGCTTAGTTCGCATGGTTATCTTTTCAAGGATTAGTGTTAGGGTTTTATGTAGGGTTTGGGCATTGGGCTTTTTACTGCTGATGGACAAATGCCCGTTACGAAGTGAAGATCCCGCATATATATGTATATAGCATGCTGGGGTTATCTGATCGAGGTAATGTAGGATTTTGTCCGTCAATCCTGAAGATGGGTCTTAGGGATCGGGGGTTGTATTTGCGTTGCCCCACGACTATGCGCAACAGAGCAGGATCTCTGAGAATAAGGTACTTTCTTTCAAGCGGGCGGGTATGCCCAGCATGTTCCGGTTGTTATTCGGTGTTGGGTCTTTGAGATCATGGCTTGGCATTAAAAATTTCGGGTTGGCAGGTTATTGTCACATGTAAGGTATTGTTCGCACTGGGTTTTAAGGGTTGCTGGAATCTAAACGGTTGATCCAACGGTTTCAAGCAGATATTAAACCCAAATTCTAATAAACACCCGTTCTTTCCTGAGGTGGGGACCCGGAATAGTGGGATTGCGTCAAACATGTGCAAAAGGCATCCTCTATACACAGTTCTAAAGTCGCATGGAGCACTGTATAAACCCGTGAAATCTCATAAGAGCATATAGAAACCTTTTTGAACCGATTCAGAGGGTATGCGCTGAAGCCCTAAACCGTAAACAGGGAGCTCACTACACCCACAACCATTCATAACCCTATGAACGCTAAGCGCTTCATCCGCAGTGCCCCTAAACCCTACACCCTACACCCTACAGCTTTGAGACCCCAAGCTTCTAAACCCAAAGCCCTTAAGCATGCATACCGAGAGCTCTAAAGCCTAGAACCTTATTGAACTTAATCAAACCCTGATCTGCAAGAGACTAACCCTAGAAGCCCATGTTCCTCAGAATCATGAATACTCCCCCGAATGCCAACCTATATTGCTACTATCAGACATCCAAGTGCCTAGCTATTTTGGGTCGGTTGGACCCACCGATTTTTCAGCAACCCCGGAACCCGAAACCCTCAGCCCCGTACACCCTAAACCCAAATCCCAGCGATGGCTCAAGAGGTGATTTTTTCCTACGAGGAGGCCATCGGCTTCTGTGTCGGGGATATGGTGAAAGACAAGGAGCCACTCGCGTTTGCCTGGGCGTACGGGGGTGTATACGGGTATCCCTACACCGCTAACCTGCGCCCTAAGCGGTAAGCCCGGCCTCAACTACCCTTGACTGTAGCCTCCAAATGCTTCTTAATGAGAAATTTCAGCGCCTTTAATTACGGGGTACTCGTACTTGGGGGTTCCTCGGAAACCCTAAACCCTAAACCCTAAACCTAAAAACTCTTATATGGACCTTTCATAGATATAGTAACTCGGGGCTACAACCCAAAACCCCAACGGCTTTCGGGCTTCATTTCGGTCGGAGTCGCCTGTTGGGGGTTACCAAAGGGTTTGGTTTAGGTTTGATGAGGGTTTATCGGGTTTAGGCTCTAGGGTTTAGTAGGGTTTAGGGCTTTGGGGTTTGAGGGTGTCGGGTTTGGTTTGGGTGTTTATGAGGGTTTATAGGGTTTTGGCTTTAGGGTTTAGGGGCTTGGACGTTTAGGGTTCGCAATTTTTGTTTTTATGAGGCAAGTACCAGCAATGGCTTGACAAAGCCGTAGAAGGAGGCATATGCGACCTCTCTACCGCGCCATCACGTCGCACGAAACAACTTCTGTGTGCCCCCACCAGGATCTGGAGGTAGCTGCGCACAATCTGGCTCTGTCCGGATGTGGGCCCCGGTCTGGGGCTGCGGCGACATTCAGTCGAAGCCTTCTTGCAGAAGGCCTCCACGAGGGCGGCGAGTCTTCCCCTCCTCAACGTCCAGCAGCTCGTGGGGTACGCCAAGCGGGTGCCACACAAGGCTGCGGGTACGGACGGCTCGAGGAGAACTACGACGAAGATTTGACAAACCAGGACGAGATGCATGGCCAGGCCAAGGCGACCCTGGCGGGCCCCGACTCCTTTGCCACGGCAGTTTGCTGCTGTTGTCACATGGCGAATGGGATGAGATTGCCAGACACCACCAAACTAGCCCCAGGGACGCTCCCCTTGTTCCTCACAGGGAAGGGTTTGAGGAGCTTTGGGGTGAAGGACTGCTTGGCGTTCGGGTTTTGCATGGGCATTGTAGGTTACAGGGCTCATGGGGCTTACAGGCTTAGAGGAAGCTGAGCCCGCAGCCCGATCCAAAGCCGGAGGGCACCCCGAAACCCTAAACCTAATCCCAAATCCGAAACCTAACCCCCTAAGGCCTACACCTTCTGAACCCTAAACTTAAACGCTCCAACATACAAGCCCTAACCCCGAAACCCTAAGTGGGGGTCCTGCTCAACCCGAAACCCTAAACCCCAAAAGCTTTAAACCTTGAAAAGATCCTTTACCCTTAGCATCAAACTCGCCCATAAGCCTTATATAGTATGGTCTTTGGGCCCACAAGCCTTAAATTATAAGTCCTTTGAAGGTAATTGTTATAGATCCCTTAAAGCGGCCTTACACAAACCCTATAAACCCTAAACCCTTAAACACTAAACCCTAAACCCCTAAACCCCTAAACCCTAAACCCATAAACCCTAAACCCCTAAACCCCTACACCCTGAACCCTATAAGCCCTAAGCCCTAAACCCTAAAACTCTAAACCCTAAACCCTAAAAACCCTAGGATCTCTTTAAGCCCTGTGAGCTCCTGAGGATGGCATTTGCGCGGCCTCCGTTTTCGTAGATATGGCCAAGGACCTGCGTGAGGTCGGGCCCGGGGGAGGGGGGGGCCGGTTTGGGGTTGGGTTTTGAGGGTTTAGGGGTTTAGGATCGGGGGGGGGGTTCATTATGGTGGATTTTGAGGGTTTAGGGGTTTAGGCCTGGGGTTGAATTTGAAAGGTTTATAGGGTTTTTGTTTAGGGGTTTCGGGCTTTGGGGGTTTAGGGTGGAGGGTTTAGGGCTGGGCGCGAAGAGCTGGGATTTTGGTTGAAATTCGGCTTCAGGCTTCATATCCATCAGTTGTTTGCTTCGAATTTTTGGCAGGTAGTGGTGGCGCAGCTTGAAATACAGGCTTCTTGCAGGATCGGGAGTGAGCCCCAGTAAGAGGGAAGCCGGAATAACTACCAACCTTCCTTAGTTCTTCCTCTGTCCCAAAACCTTGTTGGGCCCCGACAGTAGTCATGGATGGAGGTAATGCAGGATCTGGCGCCGTGAGACAAGCGTTTGTTTAAATCCCTAAACCCGACCTTCAGCTACCGCAACCGACTTTTTTCTAGGTTCTTATAATACACCCTAATATAGAATTGATAGGGACCCTACAAAAATCTAGGTTTTGGTAGGTTAATGTAAACCCTAAATCCTGAACACCTAAACCCCAAACTCGTGGCTGAAATCCTTGCGGAGGCTGGGCGGAGTTGCCAGCAGCATCTTCAGCAGCTGTACATCGCATCCTGGAGTGGAATGACGATTTAGGGTTGAGGGTGACTTGTAGGATTTAGGGCAGAATGTTTAGGGTTTGGGGTTTAGGGTGTCTGGACTTCAGAGTTTAGGGTTTGGGGCTTAGCACTTTTTTCATCTAGGTTCCAGCCTTACTGCTGAGAATTTTCATTGATGGTGCTACACCCGCATGTCAATAATGTAGGGATTTAATAGTTAGAAGAATGATACTATACCTATAGGATCCATTGTACTTCCTCTTCTTGGTCCATGCTCTATATTATAGGATCCTACAAGGTAACCTAAAGCGTCCAAAGGATTCAGTAAATAGGTACTTGAGTTTCGGATAGTATAGCTATGTAGCTTACCCTTTTGAAGGATATTTGATTATCACGTAGTTGGACCCTTAGGGTAAGGTCGGGAGCTCAATAATTAGAAATGTGATGCTATTCCTTGGGTTCCTAGTTTTTCCTAAACCCTTTTCAACCGTAAACCCTGAACCCTGAGCCGTAAGCGCCCATACAAGGACTACGGTAACTTCCTGTCCATGAACAGCTACGTCAAGTCGCCGGATTCGGCGCTGACGACGCTCGGCGCGCAAGCAACGCTTGAATATCAGACCACACCCCCTAAACCTTAAACCCTAAACCCCCCCCCAGGGCTTTATGCAGAGCCAGAACCCAAAACCGTGATAAAACATTATAGACCCCGAAGTCCTAAACCTTTCTGCCCGAAACCCAGAACCCAAAACCGTTTTATGCCTTATAGACCCCGATAAAAGTCCTAAACCCTAAGCCCAGATGCACACAAAATTATTAATACCTCAAGCCTATGATCTGAAACTAGCCCAAGGCCTGCAGTACTTGAGTCTTGCCCCTAATGGTCCAAGTACTTCTTATTAGAGAACTTTGGGGCTTTCTGGAGTACCATAAAACCACAAATAAGGACTACTTGGATTTTATTGTACGAGTTTAGAGTCTAGGGTTTGGGATTTAGGGTGCCATACCAAGTTTTGGGGATTAGGGCGGTATCCCACGTTTGAGAGCTCTCGGCTCTTCCTCCAAGTCGAAGTACCATGGGAGTTTTGTTTTTCGCTTGGGGAAAGGAAGCACATCCCTAAACCCTAAACCCTAAGCTCTAAGAGAAGGGGCCAGGAGGGGAAGACCGAAGCCCTGTAGAGTTTATAAACCCTAGTTGGCCTGCGGCCACTTCTCTTTGCCCGGGATGGCAAGGCTGAGCAGGTGCCCGCTCTTGGAACCAAGAACCCTTATAAGGGGATCCTTCAAGGGATCCTTTAAGGCCTCCTTTAAGGGATCCTTTTGAATTATCCTTTAAGACCTCTTTTAAGGGATCTCTGATGAGGCATCCTTTCAAGGGATCCTTGAAAGGAACACCTAAAGCCTGAGGATAGAACCCTAAACCCTAAACCCTAAACCCTAAACTCTAAACCCTAAACCTAAACCCTAAACCCTAAACCCTAAACCCTTACATCCCTAAACCCGTAAATCCCTAAGCCATAAACCCCTAAACCCTAAACTCTAAACCCTACCTGGAACGCCTGACCGCATGTTTATTTACGTGTGTGTTGTGTTTTCCCAAGGTTTGCGAAATCACGTATAGAAATCCTTATTGTCAGTGATCACGTATGGAAATAAAGATGTCGCACGGAAATCCTTGAATCATGATTGTGTGCATGTTTGATGTCGAAAGTTCATGCTCGAGCTCTACGTGGATGGGCTGGCTATGAGGCCGGGTGTGTTTCGAGCTCACACATACTTCATGGCATATGTAAATAAATATAAATATATATATATATGTATATATTATACATATATGTGTGTTCACATGCATCTTGTGGTCATATGCATGCACGACATATGATACTGTACACATATATATGTATATATGTATGTATATTTATATATAATATATATAGATGCATGCATATATGCATACATGCATTCCTACATACATACATACATACATACATACATACATACAAACATACAAACATACAAACATACAAACATACAAACATACATACATGCTTAGGGGCAACCTGCATGAGCACGCATGCCCACACATATACATATATATATATATGTTGTATGTGTGTGTATGCATAAATACAGGTATATCTATTAAAGAATTCACACCAGTACTATATAGAACATAAATAGAATAAGAGATGAAGATGAAGAAGATCGTGTTCGGGTAGAAGACCATGTGGTTGCCTGCCAGAGGCTCTGGGAGATCCACTTCGAGGTATCCCCGACTGGTTTTGTGTGGGTTGCTTTTTGTTGTCAGTCTCTTTCTCTCTCTCTCTCTCTCTCTCTGCAACACTCTCTTTATAACTCTCGTTCTGTGTCTGTGCGCGGTTGACTGTGACATCTCATGTTTGCATGTGCAGCTTCATGGCTTCCGCTAAAAAAGTGTAATGGAAGAAAACCACGTATTATATAAGCTACATGCATGCGCACGACTGACAGGAAGCATGACAGGAAGCATGATTGTAAGAGGTTGCACTTACATCATCATATCAGCAAGATTCAACTTTGCTCAGCAATGTCATCGGGCAAATTGGACGACCTGGAGCTCCCCTCTTCCGGCTTGAGTTATGATTGGTTCCAGCTTGAAGGACTTTCCGAACGGGGCGCAGGGGGACGACTGGTGATTGCACCAGGTGTACTCACTCGTCCCGATCTTGATTTCAACTGGGATGTCGTTGCAACAGCAATGCAACACTTGGGTGCACGTCCAGGGGTGGACAAACTGCAAGATGAAGTTGATCTTTTCTTTCAGCGTAGCCGACAAAAGGGCAAGAAGCCGGTCTGTCGTCACTAGGCTTCAGAAGGTCGATGATTGCATGTGTTAGCGATACTTGTTATTCAAGTTTCCACCGACTGTGAGCGATAACCGAGGTGACTTCTGTCGTAACCAAGCCTGGCGTGTTCGGAACTTAATATCCATGTTCAATCGGATATGCAAGCTCCCTCATCGACCAAACGAAGAGAATATTCGGAAGATCTACGTGCAGTTGGGTCTGGAGATTCCACCTGGTATTTTGCCAGCAGTTTAATATTAACTGAGCAAATCGTTTTGAGTGCATATAGGGGTTTTGTCATTTCCCAGCAGCATCCATGCTCAGGACGGCAACTGCGATCCAACGAGTCTCTGCACGAGATGGAGGGATGCGACGAGGTTCGGTTTGCTTCAGCTGTTCAGGATGGGCTGTGAATTGATTAAGTGTTGGCGACAGGTCGGCTACGATGAAGAGGGTGCTGAATCGGAAGCACCAACTGACGATGGTGAGATTGATGAAGGGGCCCTGCTCCCCCAAGCCCCCTCGGACACTAAGCCAGCTTTGAATGAGAAACCCTCTCCGCGAAGCTTGTCAAGAATTTATGTGGTTGCTTTACATGAGCACTGTTGAGCTGATCGATTGTTTGTTGCAATTGGTCACCTAGACTGGTGTCTGCTTGCTTGCTATGAGGAAGTTCGGCATCGACTCCGTCTACCGAAGTGGTCACCCCGAAGCACGTGCAAGGCCATGGGACAATGCCTCAGTCATCAGAGAAGCTAGTGGCCCCCGGGAAGCGTGAGCTTTTGAAAGCTTTGCATGATCAGCAACAGCACCTACATGCTTTACTTTTGGCAAAGCAGAAGCAGCAGCAGCAGCAGCAACAGAGATCCAGTCCTGGCACCCTGCATGCAGTTACTGTCGGGAGTTGCAATATGTGTAGCATGCATTCAAATTATAGTGTCACGCGTGTTCGAGTTTGTTTTTTCATCTCATGCCACATGAGGTAACGTGACGACCCAAGAGACTCAAATAATGGATGAATCTTGGATGGACCTGGCTGCAGCCAAAATGTCCCAGGATGTTCAGGCCAAAGAGAAGGCAGCTGTTGATGCTCATGTGTATGATGACAAGGCCCCGTCGAGATTGGGCCCGAAGCGACTCCGGACTCCGACCGAGGAATGGGGGCCAACCAAATCATCCAGAACAAGCCGTGTACCGATCAAGAAAGAGCCGGTTCCTGCCAGGAAAGAGCCGGTTCCTATAAAGGCAGAACCTCTGGAGCCAACTGTAACAAGCAAGACAAAGCCTTTGAAAGAGCCACCACAGAAGCCTTTGGATGAGCCACTGCAGAAGCCTTTGATAGAAGAGCCACCGCAGAAGAAGCCGTTGGTAGAAGAGCCACCACAGAAGCCGTTGGTAGAAGAGCCACCACAGAAGCCTTTGGTAGAAGAGCCACCGCAGAAGCCGTTGGTAGAAGAGCCACCACAGAAGCCGTTGGTAGAAGAGCCACCAGAAAAGCCTTTGGTAGAAGAGCCACCGCAGAAGCCTTTGGTAGAAGAGCCACCGCAGAAGCGTTTGGATGAGCCACCGCAGAAGCCTTGGGTAGAGCCACTGCAGAAGCCAATCAAGAAGGAGCCTTTGGTAGAGCTGGTACCAATCAAGAAGGAGCCTGGGGTCAAGCAAGAGGTTCACACGGATGAGGATGGTTGTCCAGGGTGGGCTTCCCCAGTGGGGCACGAAGCTACTTGTGGAGGGATTGGTTCCCCAGTGGAGCCCGAAGGTGATTCCAGGGAACATGAAGCGGATGCCGACCGCCCTGATGAGGCTGAGGGCAATGGGAAGGTACCGTCCCCAAAGGACGCACCGCATGATGCGGGCGAGATGGCACGACCTGCTCTTCTAGGCACAGCTGGTGTTGTGTCACCAGGTGACCAGAACCAGCTGACGAAGAAGAAGAAGAAGAACAAAGATAAAAACAAGGATGCAGACAAGGAGCCGCCTGAGCCCCGCAAGCCAACAAAGACGTCATGCAAAAAGGCTACAAAGGACTCAGAGGCTGCACCAAAGAGAAAACCGGGCCGCCCCAGAAAAGACGATAGCCAGCCAAAAGCCAAAGCCAAGGCCAAAGCATCCAAAGCCCCCCCAGGCAAGCCCAAGACCCCCGAGAAGAAGAAAAGCAAGAAGCGCAAGGCAGCAGATGAAGTCGACAACAGCCAGGACACGAAGTTTTACTCACCTGCAGCGCCGAAGTCCAAAGCGAGCAAAGCAAAAGCCAAGAGCAAGCCAAAGGCGGCCCCGACCCCCAAGAAGCGCGCGGGTTGCAAGGGTGGGAAAGGAAAGATTGGAGCTCCCCAGGATGCTGCGTGCAAAAGCCGAAAGAGTTGTGCTTATCACAAAGCAAGAAAGCTTGCTTTAAATATGGGCCTTTCGAAAGAGGAGGCACTCGTCCAAGCCAAAGAGGTTGCTCGGTTTCGTTTAGAGAGGGAGAGTAAACCACAGATGTCAGTGAGTGAGAGAGAAAGAGAAAAGAGAGAGAGAGAGAGAGAAAGGGAGAGAGAGAGAGACAGTTATTGTATGTGTGTATGTGTAGTCATGAATGTATTAGCTTCTTTCCGGGGTATTATGGAATGTGTGTTACATGTGGGTACCAGTGCATGTGTGCTGCAATCTGAGGCTTATGCTGCCCAGGATTGAATCTGGCTTGCACTAGCGGAAGCTGGTTGCGCTTTTGACCATGATCTGTACTTTTCACTGTCTTTATGCAGTCAGTGCGGTAGGTTTG